GGGGGCAGCATGGCTCAGGTGGTAGCGGTCATCTTCCAACCCGATGGTTTTGGGTTCCATCCACAGCCTTTATGACCCTTGAGCAAGGGTTTACGAGATTCCGCGTGACTTTTCCCCTCCGGTGGCGTTTTGTGCCTTTCCAGGCGTGTAGATGAGATGAGGCCTAATGAAGACCCGATGTGAGTCCACAGCGCTTCATTCCGTCTCTAAAAATCCTCTGACCCCTTCCTCCATTCTGGGGGGGGGGGCCTCCCCGGCTGGTGTTCATCAAACGAGGTAGTGTCCCTCAACCGCCCCGAACGCCCAACCCACCTGTGTGGACTTTGCGCTTAATCCCTCTCTGACCCCCACCCCCCCCCAAAAACGCCTCTTCTCTTGGGTTTGAATACTTAGACTAGCGAGTGTAACTAATTCTTCCACACAAGGACATTGTCTTCTCTCGATCTCTCCTGTTGTCCTTCTATTTCAAGTCGACTATTCACTCATTTCATTAGTAGAGTTGGGGGTGTGGAGGGGGGGGAGTTTCCAATTAAAATACCATAATAGCCTATTAGTATCCGCCTAGCGCAATTCTGCTGTTTCAAGTGTTAAAAGTGATGAGATGCGGCATTTTAGCACAATGTGTGCCGTTCTCGTCAAGCAAAAGCACGAAAATGTGTTTAGCAGGCTGCTCGGTATGCACACACATGCTGCCCCTCCCCTCCCCCGGGACCACCAGACCGACCGTCCCCATTTGTTGTACATAACCCTCACACACACGGCCCACAGCCTCCCAAGAAGTCATCCCTGGGCATAAATCAGCAGGCCGTCTCCATCGCGGGAACCCTCCCCTGCTCAAGATCTCAGTCGCAGCCTGGCACCGTCTGCCCTGGCCGAGGTGGTGACGCAGGGACTACGTGTGCAAAGTGGTTTCCCAGCGACCCGGGTCGTCCGGGGTGACATGGTTTAGGAGGGCCAAGGCCTAACTACCATGTCATATATCCGATACTAAAATGAAAAATACAGTAAACTCACGATAGGTGATAATCCGCAATTTTTAAAGGCCATATGAAAATAAGATTTCGTTTTGGAGCAGTTTACAGCACTTGGTATTCTCAGTTGGACTCAAATCCAAGCAGCTCCAAAACAGGCCAAACCCTGCCTGGCTTCCAAGATCAGATGAGATCGGGTGTTCGCATGGTACTAAGGATGCCTAAAACACATTTCAATGTATTTTCAAGTATCCCTGAGTGTCTGTTGTCACTCTCTTGATGTAAAAAAAAAAAAAAAGGAGACTATCCAATAACTTTGCTTAGAAGAAACAAAAGGACAACTTTCCTGTTGGCACATTCTAGAAATATTTGTCACTCCCATTTGAGGGTTAGTGCAAAACTGACATAACACAAAAGACAAGGAGTGCATTTTCTATTCAAATATCAAAATTGTCAACCAAACAAGTCTGCTAGCTTGATGCTAAAATGTGCTGTGAAATTCCATTGACCGGCCATGCTGCAGTTTGCATCTTCCATTGGAAATGTTATCAGATGTTTTCCCGTTTACGGACAAGAAGTCTCATATGAAATTCTTGAACATTTTGCATTTCGTTCCATTACCGTATCCCATTGCGAATCGAACATGATTTTTGGTTGTCAAAAAGGTGTCCCGCTGGCGAACAAACGAGGAGAGTTCAAAGAGCAAGTCATCTCCCAAACAATCTTCTTCTTTTCATTTGCGCTGAATTGCGTCACCGCAGGCTACTGCTGAAAATTCCTCAACCAAAAGACACTTGTGACTAAATTACTACTCTCACACTGTCAAACCCAAAAAAGTAAAAGTCCATCACTGGTAATTTGTTACATTCCACTTGAGGCAAAAGGGCTTGACCTGCCGCACCTTTGCTATTTTGCCCAAAGTGCCGCTCGGTGGCTTGATGTGCGGCCTGTAAAACGGCTGGAGACAAGCCCCTGCGCTCCAAAGCTTATCTTGGTGGTTTGATGACACCACTTGATATTGCTCTGTCCCAGCACCTGCAAAGGATGCCTAAATTTCAAGCCAGAGGTGACAAAAACACGTACGCGATATACTTAAGCAGAAGTACAGAGACGGTGAGACCGTCAGGAACGGAACTGGAGTCTGGCTCGTCTGTTTGTGAACATCAGGGCACGAGTTGTGGCCTACAGCAGCTCCTTGCGAGTGTTGTCATTTTGCATTTGCGTGGTTGACACATAATTCAACACAAGTCGGGCCTCGGGGTGGTGCGAGGGAGGGGAATGAGGTCTGACCGTTTGACTTGTGTGACGAGAGTGCCGTCGAGCCATCGCAACATTTGTCAAAATGCTCAGATGGGGAATAAAACACACTGCAGGCGCAGCCTGTTCTCACGCGGCGTGACGCCAGTGCTCGTCATGTGGGAACCACTTCGTGGCTTTTAATGTCTCTCTCTCTCACACACACACACACACACACACACACACACACACACACACACACACACACACACACACACACACACACACACACAAACACACACAGACAGACACACACACACACACACACACGCGCACGATTCCAAGTACAGCACATTTTGAAATGTAGTCCTGCAGTTCAGAAAAATGACCCAAAGCAATATGCCGTAGCTATCTGTAATAAGACTAATATATTACTCGTCTTTAATATTAGTATATTAAAAAAAATGGTGCTTTTGCTTCTCTTTCCATTGGAATCATAATAATGAAGCCATCAGGCCATTGCCAAGTTTTTTGTGCACATGCTGCCCTCAAGCGGTAAAGCAGTGGTACTGACGTTATGGAATAAACTATGAATGCATGAAAAAAATGACTTCCCTATTCTGTTAGGGCGAAACAAAACATCAACTATGAATGCATGAAAAAATTACTTCCCTATTCTGTTAGGGCGAAACAGGACAGAAAATATATATATATACGCATGCATATACATTGATTTTTATAAGGTATATGATTATAAAACAATGAACACGTAAAGTATTCCAATGAGAAGGAGGCATCCTATAAAGTTAAAAATGATATTTTTCGAATTATTCCTTTTTTGACTGTATTCATCAGTGTGTAAAACAAGAACAGACAATGTTTTGTGCATTGACATTTTTTATTAGGCTACAGTGGATGTATAAAGGCTGACAAATTCAAATTGAAAGTAAAATAAAATACACGGTGTCCAAGACGTTAATGTCCCGCTTTCAGTTTGTCGTCCACAGATCGATCCCCGCGCGAGCCCCCCAAACAAGGGGGGCTCTGGGCCAGGCTGGGATCTCCACGCCACTGCTCGGGCGTCTTGGCTTGGATGGCCAGCGCGTGTATGTGAGCGCTCAGCTCCACTTTCAGGGCCTCGTTGACCAGACGGTGGCGCTGAAGCAGCGACAGGCCCTGGAAGCGGCCGCTGACGACCAACACGCGAAAGTGTGATTCCGAGCCGGGGGGCACGGCATGCATGTGGCTTTCATTGTGCACCTCCAGGTGCTCTGGATGAAATGCGTCCGTCAGTTTGCTGGTGATGGCGCCCTCCACGGGCCTTGCGGCATCCATGCGGGAGGCCAGGCGGGCCACGGGGCCGGAGTAGATGGGATGGGCAGACCGATAGCAGCGAAGGATGGTGGGCAACATCGGACGATGCGCGCAGTACACCACCTGATGGCTAGCTACGTAGTTCATACATATACTTCAGTGATGCGCCCTCTAGTGGTATGCAAAAGTACCACTATTCGGCTGTATTTAACTTTGAAGACCAAGAGTAAATTCATAATTTTAATTTGCAATGCCACGAGTCAAAAAAAAAATCGGTAAAAATTACCTTGTCACACTGTAAAGAAATTAATTTGGACTGGTGAAAAAAAATGTCTCAACAACAAAACAAGTATATTTTAAAAAGAATAAGGCGGTCAGGTTTCATAATAATACAGTACTTGACTTTCTCATTTATGGGGAAGCTGCACACCCAAAACGTCAACATTACAGCGCTGTTACAAGCATCCACCTGCGTCAAGAAAGGCTGCTGGTCTCAAGCTGACGCTTATGAAAATGTTATTTACTGTACTGGTTAACATTTGAAACTTTATTCTCAAAACATTGCCACTGAAACGTCCAACATTAATTTTGCGTAACTCACCTCGGCCAGCTGGACTAACCTATTGCTTGTTCAGCTAGCATTAGCTGCTAGCATTCCCATAAACATCGCCCCCTCCCTTTTTTGTTGTTGTTGTTTTTCGACCTAATTATGCCGTACAGCCCCGCTGTATAGTCAAATAATCATATAACCATCGAGGGATTCGAATAAAAATTTTAAAGTGAAATTCGAGCTTTAAAAAGAACACATCGTAATCTCACCTTGCTGGTCGTGACGCAGCGCCGTCGCTCTCGTGACGTAACAAGCAGGGCGGAAATGAAGTATTGTAGTTTTCGCCTGTTGCTTGGCAATTCCAACAGTTGTCCGAGGTTTGTGGGGTTACTCTGCCGCTCGGCTGAAGTGAAACCTCAAAATAGCCGTGATAATAAATCCGAAATAATACAAAGTGAGGAGAAAATACGAAGACGCTCTTTCCATGGCTTCCTTTTTTTTGTTGACGTACTAGCGTGCCGGATGTTTAGGCTCAGGAGGGACTTGTAGTTTTCATCTAAAAAAAAAACACTTTTCATCTCCTGTATTAGGAGATACGTCAGAGGTTAGGCAGGCTTGTATACGTGTCAATGTGAATCAAGGTAAATGGATTATATTACACATTTTGTTATTTTCTCTTTGTGAACAATTCAAATAATGTATTCAAAGGTCCCTTGACGATCCATTAAATCACTGACAAATATAATGGCCTTCTCAAACCAAATATTTTTTAAAGGCTGATTTTCTATTTATTTCTATTCTTGTAACATTTTCTACATACCCCCTGCAATGTGCTCACGTACCCCTGGTTGGGCAACACCGGTTGACAAGAAAATAGTCATAATAATAACATAAAAACTTGACAAATGTGACAAGGACAGACAAAGATGCTCTTTTCATCATAACTTTTATTCCTTATGGTTTTTCCATGATTCTAAAGGGTTGATTGCAAACCCCATGATGAGTTTTCAGAAAAATATCACACAGCTTTGAAACAAAAGCACAGTCTCACTTGGGTTTACGATGAGCCATCACACTGACATATTTACTGAGATTCCATTCTCTTTTAGAAAACACAAAATCAAAGACAACATACATAATTTTACACATCTTTTGTTTTGTTTTGTTTTTTTACTTTCATATCCATGATTGCACACACAGTTGGCTATGCTTACAATGAAACTACATATCCTACAGCACAGTACACACCGACAAAGATGAGCAATCCTTTGTTACATTGAACAAATGAGGGAGGGAGGGGGGCTTTCGGGATTTTATGCGTGTGTTTGTGTGTGTGTGTGTGTGTGTGTGTGTGTGTGTGTGTTTTCTTTTTGTACGCTGGCAGAGGGGAAAGAAATCCAGACAACTTATTGCTTTATTATCTTTTTGTGCTCGCCACGACAGTTGTTGCCATGGCAACCGACTCTTTGCACAAAATGAACCCTGAACCAAAGTTAGGTAGCCTGTGTACCAGGAACTTCCAAGTTCTCGGCACTGCTACTTCCTTGAATAAAATGGATCCGATCTTCTACGTTGTTATGGGTCTTCCTTTTACCCCAGAACTAAATTTAAATATAAACAGAGGAGAGGCAATCCGAAGCTGAGGTTCCAGTAACTTTTAGCTCTTGGTACCTGGGTTTCCTGGAACTTCCAGCTTGAAAGCACGAGCAGGGTCTTTTTAGGACCCTGCAACTAAATTTAAATAGACGAGAAGCAATCTGAAGCTGAAATACCAGAAACCTTTGGCTCTTGGGACAGTAGGTGTGGCTCCTGGAACAAAAGGGTCCTAGTTAGTCCCTGGACTGCTTAAAAGTACTAGCAAGGTCCAAGAACTAAATCTGAAACTTAGGTTCCAGGGCCTTTTGGTTCTTGGTACCTGTGATTCCGAGAGCTAAATGGATCGGTGCGACCCTGGAAAAGTTCCGAGGTCTGGAGTAAAGTTGCATTTATTTATGTATTTATTTATTTTGTATTTATTTTTACATTTTCAGTGTTGAACGAAAAACCTTGAAATCCCCGCAGAGAGTTTTATGTTTTATTTCTTTTACTGGTTGGCATTTTCACAGATGAAATCTGTGACAGTCTGAAACTCCAGTTCCTGTTTCTCGAGGTCACATGACCGACGAGCACAGAAAAAAAAAAAAAATCTTATTCTTGTTTAGTTGGACTATTATGATCCTCAGTTGTATGTACATATGTTCATATGTACAGAGCACACATGGCATTTGACGTGTAAAACTGGTGGTAGAAAACATTTGGTAAGAATTAACGACATGAAAAAAATGGCACACTGAAATCGTCTTTTAAAAAAAAAAATCAGTAAAAAGAAAAAAATGGAACGGGCAGGTCAAGGGCTGCTTTGTCACAATTGTCTGGTTAGGTAGAATTTGTGCTCTTGAATTTTGGCGGTTTGCCCAGCATGTGCGTGTACGCATGTGCGTTTAGTGCAACGGGCCATCTGTCTGGGCTCGATTCAAACTTTATTTAAAAAGCAGCCGCCGCGACTTCACACGCCTTCACCTCTTCCACATTTTTCACAGCCTTATTCGAAAATGGATCCAATCCACTTTTTTTTTTTTCTGCACTCAACGTCCAGAAGTGATACTATGTGTACAAGGTTGTTGTTGGTTTCAACGTTTGCAATAAAAACAAATAATAATAATAATAACAATAATAATAAAATAAAAAGCACCAACATAGCTTCTGGCTCCCTGACCTTCTGGTAAGTTCCTGGAGCGTTCTATTAAAATTTAAATGTTGTCGAAAAATGAATACATTCATTTTTTCCCCTCAAAATGGCACAAACAACACCCCATTGAGAAATATGTGATTTTTTGATTTTTGACTTTTTAATGCATTTTTAGAAATTGGACTCAATCACAGGGTGGGGTCGGGTGGGGTCCCCCCCCCCCTTTTTTTGCACCTATAGGGAATTAAAAGGTTACAATCAGATTTATTGGTCTTTTCTCATTAGCCCAAGAACAAAAGACAATCCTGTAATATGAAGCTAAAATTCCAGGAACTTTTTGTTCTGCGTAGCTTTAGTTCCTGGCACTCCAGGTTTTAATCCACTGCATGAATGGTCTTTTCTTTACCCCAAAACAAAATTCAAATAAATGATAGAAAATCTGAAATTGTAGTTCCAAGAACTCTTAAGTTGTTGTCATCTTTAGTTCCTGGAAGTTAGCTTCAGGGTATATTGGTTACCGGACCACTGAAAGTATTAACCGGGTGTTGTTTTTAACCCAGAATTCAGGTCAATTTAAGTAGACCGGAGACAACCTGACGCACAAGTTCCAGAAATTATTTCTGGGGACTTGTAGTTCCAGGAATTCAACGGTTCCAATCAAATATTTTCAAAGGTACTACTGTAAAAGGGCCTTCTTTTTGCCTCAAGTGAAAAAAAAAATCACAATGGAGTTTTGAATTTGAAAGGAAAAATGAATGCATTCAATCTAACAGAAATTATTTGAATCAAATTTGACATGAAACACGATGAAAGAGAATCTGGAGCGAAAGTTTCAGGAATTTTTCAGTTCTGGGAACTGACGAGTACCAATCAGATATGTTGTTGACAAATGTGTGATCGTAAATTTACTTTTCAATAAATTAGCAAAAAATGGAATTATAAAGAATCTCCGTCCATGTTTTTTGGTTGTGTTGTGTGCAGAATTTTGAGTGAAATAAATTGAATCCTTTTTGGGATACGGCGGTGAACAAATTCAAATAAAAATGGAATTGCGACTGCCCTGTACATAAAGTTGCATCTAATATGGCTGCTATCCTATAAAATGGCAGTTTTCGACATAAACGATGTGAACGGATGTGAACGACGGTTGCTGTGTTTTTGTTGAATCTACCCTGTGCTGTTACACTCTCAGCCCTTGGCAGTGAATCTCATTTTCACACATGATTAGCGCCACCTATTGGTCAAGCCCTGCAGGGTATGTCTAGTTTGGTGAAATTATTTTGCCAACCCCCAAAAAAGAAAATCATCAGTAATAAAATGATGATGGGGGGGGATATTGCACGGGAAGGGTTCCATATTGCACGACAATCAGGCTAACATTCACTTCACACAGGTCGTTATCATAATTGTTATGAAGATAATTTCATATATTAGGCGTATCTTGTCATCTCTTACGTAACACATAATAATAATGTCGCTTTTCCACTGCACCACGATGCTCTTGCCGTACCAGGGACTATTTCTTGGGCTGAGGGGAAGAATAAACAAATGCTAATGTTAGCATAGCCTTAGCTGTACTCCATATTCTCCACTTCGCTGCCCTCTGTCTCGTCTTGGATGAAATTGGTCTCCTCCTCACCCATGGCTAATCTGGAAGGAAAACATGCTTGCTAAGTTGATCTTCACCTTGCAGCCAAGTGGAGACTGTGGCGCCTGATGTTGTTATCCAGCTGCTCGCAGTCTCCTCTTGGATAAAAGTCGCCTACCTTATTTTGCTCCATTGTGCTCATTTTTTTTTTAGATAGATGTTATACTTTGAGCATGGTTTGAAACATGGCTTGAGCAACATTCCTAAGATCTCTGCCACACCAAAGGTATCGAATTTTTGTCAAACCAAGTCACGTGAGACTCCGCCTGCTTTCTGACTGAAAGTTTGCCAGCTTTTTGAACGCTTCCATATCAGCATTTGAAGTCAGGGCCAAATGGTCTCGATAAAAAGCTGGAATTTCAACACACTTTGCAGCAGCGCGGGCAGGTTGATAAACAAATGTTGAGGTGGTGGCTGACTCGGTGAGAAGAGAGACGATTGTCGCTTCTTTGTGATTCTGTTCAAATGCTGGAGTGCTTGGGTACCTTGCGGTGGAAAAGCGGCATTTTGAAAAGAGCCTGGTCTCACATCTGTACTGTACATGGTTTTGATGCTTTTTGAGTACATGTAAATCCATACATGTACATACATACACTTGGACATGCATAACACGAGGTGGAGGTGGGCGGGGCCAGGAGAAGTCCTAAAAAGCCATTTCTCTACAAAGGGATTTACGATATGAGAGCACGCACACTCGCACTACGCTTGTGCTTTAAATGGACACTTGATGACTTTCAAGTCGACGTTAATGAACGTAAATCATGTTTTTAAAGGGCAAGAGGGGCTTCGTTTGTGCCCACCACAACAAAAACAAACCCGGAATGCTTAAGTGTCAACAAAACGACCATCGATGAAAACGCCTCTCATTTTTTTTTTTTTCAAAGAAAGGCATCAAATGGAATGATTGGTGTATGTGAGTGGACAAGCTATCGGATTTTGTATGGCTCACCATCAGGAGCCTCCCAGTTCCCGGACCCCGGACTTCCGCCACATTTTTGGAGGGGGTGTCTACAAATTGTGTCATGATTCCATTCAAACCAATTGTGACTAAAGCTCCAATCTCACCTCCGTAAGCTCCCCTATGGCCTTTTATTATTGCAGCACCTGACCCCTGGTCTCAGGTAGTTTGAGGGCCAGGAAACTGCCGGCCGCCAGCGCCCCCGAAGCGAAGAGAATGGGCACGGCCTTGGTGATGCCCACGAACGACGTGAAGATGCTTATTCCCAGCACCGCCGCCAGTTTGCACAGCGCGTTGAGGAAGCCGAACGCCGTGGTCCTGAATGCGGGAAGGGGACGTTTAGAGAACCACATTCCTTGCAAGTCACATGAGTCATACCGGTCTTATTTACTCATTCAACTACAGTGATACCGCAGCATCCTCGTCATTTGGTGCCATCAGAAAAGCAGACGCGCAACCCACCAAGCAAAGCAACAGCAACGTCATCACACAGTGGTCCGACCACACTGCATCGACGTCACTTCAGTCGTCGAGGAGAATCGGCATTTGCGTACCTCTTGTCGGAGGGGTAGAGCTCAACGGTCAGCACATCCAGGGCGTTCCAGGAGGCGATGCTGATGCCGCCAAACAGGCAAAGCAGCGCGATCATGGCTGACTCGCTGTTGCCGAATGACAGGAAGAAGCAGCTGACGCAGGAAATCACGCTGGAACCCGCTGGAGAGAGCAAAATGACAAGCGTTGGAGGCGGGGCCAGCAAGGTCTTCTGTGCCGGCTTAAACACTACCAGGACCTACATTCACAACCCAAATGTTATTTTTTTCCTTTGATGAAATGGATATGAGTCATCATGTGTTGTCATGTACAGTATGTCTAATCCACTAACGGATTTTAGAATAAATACCACAGTGCTGGACCACGGAAAAGTGAGAATCCAGGATTTTTTTTCTCTGCGGGAACTAATTAACGCACGGCCTGCAATGGCGGAAAATATTGTTTACCGAGCATCCTGAGCCGGCCGATCTTGTCCATCAGCAACGCCGACACGATGTTGCCCGGTAACACGGCCAAGGTCCCCAGGAAGCTGACAAAGTAGACCATGTAGGCGTTGTTCTCATCGCTCACGTCGCTCAGCAGGCAACCCTCCTTGTTGTGCAGGAAGGTGCTGTTGATCAGACGGCTGTTGACCAACCTGTACTTGAACAGGTCTTTGAGGAGCAAAGTGCAGAGGGAACAAATGCCAGGTGTTAGACCAGAAGGACGGTTGGAGATGGGCTTCAGTGAAATTTTTCGTACACGTTTCAAAACACATTTTACTCAAAAGGCCAGGAAGTGTCCGTCACCCGGTAGTCAGGCAACAGAAAGGCCCCAAATTTGGGTGTTAAGTGTGGCAAAAATGCTTTAGATTTGGGTGTCAAGTTGGCAGGAAGAACACTTGATGCTAGGGCAACACAAAGGCACCACACGTGGGTATAAAGGAGGTAGAAAGGATCCAAATTCAGGTGTTGAGGCATCAAAAGGTATCAAATTTAGCCATTCCGCTTGCAAAAAGGCACCAAATTCGGGTGTTAAGGTTGCGCAATGAGATCAGATTGATCAAAACGGTGTATAAAAGCAACATACATCTTTATTTTCACATTTAAAAATATATATATGTCAGTAAACTCCATATTAACAAGTAATGCGACACAGCGGAATGTCTAAATATTTGTAAAAATTGTCTTGTCGTTTGGGTCATTAAGACAAAATCATGAAAAAGTGAAGCAACCTATACAGAATAGAGAAGAATTAAAACATCACGAGGAGCTGAAAAGGATCACATCTGAGCTAAAGTAATGGACAGTAGCTTTCAAGGCTCCTGAACCAACATGAGCTTCAATACTGGCATACTCGTGTCTCAAGGCTGGGTGAATAGATCAAAAGGTATCAAATTTGGCCATTCCGCTTGCAAAAAGGCACCAAATTCGGGTGTTAAGGTTGCGCAATGAGGTCAGATTGATCAAAACGGTGTATAAAAGCAACATACATCTTTATTTTCACATTTAAAAAATATATATGTCAGTAAACTCCATATTAACATGTAATGCGACACAGCGAATGTCTAAATATTGGTAAAAATTGTCTTGTCGTTTGGGTCGTTAAGACGAAATCATGAAAAAGTGAAGCAACCTATAGAGAATAGAGAAGAATTAAAACATCACGAGGAGCTGAAAAGGATCACATCTGAGCTAAAGTAATGGACCAAGACTCCTGAACCAACAAGAGCTTCAATACTGCCATACTCGTGTCTCAAGGCTGGGTGAATAATGATCTGTAGAATTCTGATTCTGGAGAAGGTTGGCTTGGAATTGTGGTCCACATGACTCAAAAAAGGGGAACTACTTTAGAGACTCAAGAACTCAGGGCAGAACCCAAAATCAAGCGCGGCATTCTGGTGTCCAAATCCCGATGATCTGTAGCATTCTCATCCCGGAGAACATTGGCTTTGAATGGTGTCCCAAAGGTCTATAAAAGGAGGGCTCTGTCTGATTGGTAAAAATTGTCTTGTCGTTTGGGTCGTTAAGACGAAATCATGAAAAAGTGAAGCAACCTATAGAGAATAGAGAAGAATTAAAACATCACGAGGAGCTGAAAAGGATCACATCTGAGCTAAAGTAATGGACCAAGACTCCTGAACCAACAAGAGCTTCAATACTGCCATACTCGTGTCTCAAGGCTGGGTGAATAATGATCTGTAGAATTCTGATTCTGGAGAAGGTTGGCTTGGAATTGTGGTCCACATGACTCAAAAAAGGGGAACTACTTTAGAGACTCAAGAACTCAGGGCAGAACCCAAAATCAAGCGCGGCATTCTGGTGTC